ACCAATCGGTTAAGTTAACAACACTCCTTATCCTTATTTGGCATTTATTAGTTGTAAAAGCCTTGTTTGTTTTAAAGCACAGTCACATTGGGCTATCTGCTTTGCCCTCCATGAGTAATCGAGCCCCAGAGTTTAGCGTTTTGATTCCGTAAACTTACCGCTGTCCCCTCGGGGGAAATTATGAATGTTTGTTTGTTTGTAATTAAGCACAAAGCTACACAATGGGCTATCTGTGCTCTGCCCACCACGGGTATTGAAACCCGGATTCTAGCGTTGTAAGTCCGCAGACATACCGCTGTGCCACTGGGGGGCAATTATGAATGTTCCAATGGCGAAAATAGCCAACAAAACAGAAGCAACTACTAATTGAAAGTTCACGTTTAAATGTTTTTAACCTTGTGTTTAGGTTTCACTCCACATTACTTGTACTGGCACTATTTTATTTAATGTTTTTCAAGTTTAATAGAAAAATGCATTCAAAAAATCTATTTTTTTGTTTCCAAAATAAAGTAAAAATGTTGTATAGAGAAACTGTAATAATATTCATATTATTCTAGTCTATTAAGCTTAGGCCACGTCTACTATTTCGACAGATAATGCCTTCAGAAAGCCTAACAAAATTGGAAAAATATTTTATTAAAATGCAATGCTTTATACACCGATTTGTTCAGTAATTAAACAAGTTGAACGTTGCGCTAAGTGAAATGAGTTTATCAAGTCACTGAAAAACTTAGTCCTGTAACTTGATCATATTAGTATCCACGTTTAACACAGTTTCGGTAATGTTAAAAATATCTATATTATCTAGCAAAAATGCATATTTAAGTTTTCTTTTCCCGAATGATCAGGAACTTTCAGTAAAGTTAAGCGCAGTCCACTTGCATGAATCCATAAGTGACGTTACACAGCGAATATTACCGTTTCTTACCATTGTTAGCAAGATAAAACGAACATAGATTCCAGTAAGAAACAGGCGTATTATTTTGTGTACAGACGTGGATATTTAGTTTAGTTGCATATGTATAAGTATATTTTATGTATATATATACATATTTATCTATCTTTTCTTATATATAAATGCAAGTGGTTACACGAATAAAACAATTTGAGCTTATTCCAACTGCTTTATGTGATGATGAAAATCTAAACTTTGCGAAAGCACCACGAACGACAACGTTACTAATTGCGACCAGGCGCTGGCACCTTCACCGGAACTTGGCGGTTCCTAGCTGGAGGTCCACCTTTTGCTGCTGTGCAGTGGCCGGAGCATGTCTGTCTGGCGGAGCGGATGAACTGTGAGCGAAAAACTTACGGATCGCTTGCTGCTCGCAAAGCCACATCGTATAGCTGATTCATTGACGGAAGTTTTTACAGCCGTACTTTTATGCCACGTGCTGAGCAATACATCTTCTTCCCCCCTTCATCTATCTCCACACTCAATTCACAGAAGTGAATATCTGTTGTATAAGAAGAGCTTTCAAAATGAGCGTCCCTATAAACATTGGTTCAGCGATGATAGTGATTGCTTTTGCTTTGACTGCTTGTCATCACTGATTGAAAACAAGTGACTCAACTAACGTAACCGAACATCCCAGTGACTACACTGTTCTTCTTAGATTTCTGTAAGTTTACTAAGTACCAATGACTCACATGAAAACCACTACTCTGAAATAACATTTTAAAAATAGAATATATATATATATTTACTCTTTTGCTTACGTAAGGTCATTCTGGTATTATACCTAAAGTGTTTGTTTGTTTGTAATTAAGCACAAAGCTACTCAATGGGCTATCTGTGCTCTGCCCACCACGGCTATCGAAATCCGGATTCTAGCGCAGACATACCGCTGTTCCACTGGGGGGCTACCTTAAGTAAATCAACAAAACACACAAAAATACCAATTATGTATATTAATTCTCCTATTATATACCGAGGTTATTTAACCCGAAACTTTTCCATAGCGTTATGGTACTACCGAATATATCTTTCAATTAATTATAATGAGAACTTGTGAAATAATAAGACTATGCAGAGAAAAATGTGTTATCAACATAAGCTTGTTTAAATAAAAACATACTATGAGGGTTAAAATTGACTTCTCTTGCGCACATTATATCGTTTTGTACTGATACGATCCTATATATCATGACTATTGATAACATTTTATTACAATGATCAAATAAAAACGCCAGGTGAGTCGATAATAAACACAATATGTCCTAAACCAGAAGTTTTTCAGCATGTTCTTACTGACTGCATTTACAAATTGTATGAAGATAGCAAAACAAACAACATAAGAGTTATGAGATGACCAAAGGCTTGATTATTGAACAGGTTCTTATCTACACAAATAAAATGTTCCTCGAATTATTTTACTTCAACTTGAAAGTCTTTCTCGGAACATGTTTTTAAATGCAATATTATGATTATGACTATACAACGACAGACTGACTTCAGATGAACTTCATTAAAGTCAGTCAGCTAACCCACTAATGAAGAACCCTTTCCTATCCCATTATTAGTGAATTTATCTATTTTTACCAAAGTATAAATTGACAGTCTTAATGCCCAGTAACCCTATATTGATATTATCTTTTAGAAAGAGTAATATTTTATGGATGAATAATAATCAAAATTGACCTCTGTTTCACAAAATGTTTCAAAAAATTATTGATTTAGATATACATAAAACTATCGTTGAGAAAACTTATGAACTCGTTTGTCAGGCTTACAGAACGTTTAAAATTCAAAATTTATTCACAAGAACAACACAGATAGCCCATTGTGTAGCTTTGTGCTTAATAATAAAGAAAGCTCTTGATAAAAATTTTGCGATGGGAGAAAATAATTGTTTTTGTTTTAATTCATTAATGCCATACAATTAATTTTAACTGGATTACGGATGTTGATTATTTATTCCAACTGACTCAATAAGTAACAGGTATTAAATGGGATATCTTAAGTTCATCTGATTTAGTTTCCTGCTTCAATTTAGATTCTTTTTTCGGTAGTCCAAGGAGCCCTCTTTACCATTATTCCAGCTCCAAAGAAAGATGGAAAGACTCCACAGGACGTAGCAGGTATCCACAAGGAGCATGATATTCATTCAACAGAACTGATTGCATAGATATATAAATGTATCCGTAATTTCTGATAACATTAAGAATAGAGAAATTATAAACAAGCACCATTTTTCTTTTTATTGGAGATCGTCGATTTTTAGTACGTACAACCAAGATGATTTTGTCATCGGCATCCCAATTAAATAAATATAAACACTTGGCAACAACATAAGTTGCAGTTTGAGAAAATGGTGCGTTGATCATGAAAATCAATTTTTTTTCAAGCAGAGGATAAAAGTTTGTATATTTTTTTTTAGAAAGGAAGTTAGACAAAGCATGTTAGATTACGTGTAGTTTCAAAAAAAAGATACAACTCAAATATTATCATTTGTACCTATTGAATAACATGATTTGGCAATGTTTCTATTTTGTGAAAAAACATCTGATGGTATCTGTAAGTAAGCTATAAGTTTTATTTATCATAAAGTAATTACACACCCAAAAAGCTAAAAATTATCATATTAACAACTGTAAACTTAGCTGACTATATGTAAAACAAAAACGTTTTGGAATACCACAAGTAATCTAAGCGAATTACAGAGAAACAGAGATGGTGAGGCTTTAAATGCCTAAGCAGTGCTAATGGATTAAGAGATAATAAAATGTATTTGAGTAAAATATCGTTTTATAAACAGAATCAAATATGGGTTTTTCAAGATCATAGGTTTTGTATCTGATTCGAATGTAAGCACATATTGAATAAATACAATGACTTCGCCATACCTTACACCATCCAGAACCTTAAATGACTTTTAGCACACCTTAACCGAACATTTGCTTATTTTACTTCCATTTTACTCAATATATGATGTCCAATGTCAAAAATTCATAACAAAAACATCGAGAATAATCGAAGGTAAGACTTTCGAAGAAAACCAAATCATGCAACATTATGTAGGGGTTGTTTCCCTTGTACATGTAACACAAATGAACTACACTCGAATCTCATAATTCAGGAAACCTAGTAGAAGGTGTTGTACATATAACTGGCTGAAAATAGGGCTCTGGGTATTGAAAATAAAAAAAATCACTTAAAAGGCTCATTATTTAACTGATTATGACGCAATCAAATTTAAAGATAAAATAATTACTACATCTGGAAGTTAACTTGGAAACAACAGTAGATCAACTACAGTGAAATAACTCTTCCTTCCGCAGCATTTGATTTGTTTTGAATTTCGCGCAAAGCTACTCGAAGGCTATCTCCGCAAGCCGTCCTTAATTTAATAATAGGCTAGATGAAAAGCAGCTAGTTAACCCCACCCACCGCGAACTCTTGGGTTACTCTTTTACCATCAAATAGTGGGATTGACTGTTACATTATAACTCCCCCACGACTGAAAGAACGAGCACGTTCGGTGTTGGGGATTCGAATCCACGATCTTGAGATTGTGAGTCAAGAAAAAAGGAATATTTTCTGGGGGTAAGATCAGTGTTTCTAATAAAGATTAAATATAATCGTTGAGGAATATTATATCATACAGGGTTTTTACTGTATCTTTTATGTTTCACATAGGCCTAGCATAGCCTGCTGGTTAAGGCGATTTGTTATACGTAGCCTGTATAAAAATGTAGAAAATGAATTCCTGGCAAAACCTTGTTAGTAAGAGATAACACCAGTCATTATATGTGCGATATCGCCTCCATTAACTGTGATCACATAATAAAAATAGCCTAGAAATAGCATCCCTGTAAATACTCGTTCAGCCTGAAAAAAGGGAAATTTAAACGCTAAAAATATTATGTTCATTTACTGAGTTGAAATTTTGTAAAATATATTTATCATGTTATACAGTGATGACGATTACTAACACTAACATATTACCCAGACCCATATAAGCTTATCTTCCTTGCACTGATATTTTTGAATGACTTACTTTTATGTTCAGAAGAAGGGTGAGCTATTTCTTTTTCTCCTTTGTCAACAGGTTGTGGAAATATGACTGCTGTATCGCTTCTTTGCATATACTCTTGAATTTTTTCTTCTTCAGACCTCATTTCTTCTCCCTCAGACCTATCTGCTTCTCCATCTCCATCTTTGGACATTAATTCATCCTTTTCATTCCATTCCTGATTATTCTGACAATTGTGGCCATTCACTAATGCCGTAGAATCGTCTTCGGGATTTGCATCAATATTTTGACTTTCATCCTCCTCTGGGTAAACTCCTGCAGTCATGGTGATGCAGGGTGTCATGTGGCAACAATTTACTGTGGCTGTGTCTTCTTTTTGTACAACTAATAAGGTATTCGTTTCACTTACTACACCACTAATTTTGTCTGGTCTTTCTTCACGTTTTTCAGTAGGCTTGTTTTCAAGCTCTTTAAATTCGTTTGGTGAAAGTTTTGTTGTGAAAGGCTGAGAATCTTTTAAATCTGCGACTTTCGAAGGTCCCAGGTTGTCTTGATCAATGTCATCTGCCAGATTTTCACGTTCAACTGTAAAAATAGAAAAAAAAAACATCTTGTTTACAAGAAGAAAGTTATCCTAAAGATAAAAATGTTATAAAACAATATTTTAAGATGAAAAAAGGAAAAGTTTCTAAGTTTCCCAAACGGTAGCTAGTAAACATGGAAACATGATTATGGTTAAATGCGTTGCGGTAGAGTTTACATTATTCAGCATTTTGATCAAATTCTAATGTGGTTGGCATGTACAGGGATGAGACAAAATAATGAAAATATATGTATATTTCTATATTTTGCTTATTGATATAAAGTTGGTTCTCCATGGACAAATAATACAGCGCTAAGATAATGCCAAATGAATGAATTAAAGTGCTGTGCATCAAATAAGGATATTTTTTTACCAAACGTCGATCAAGGTTTACCCTAGTTGTTGAAGTAGTGTTTGGTGGTGGAAATCTTTAAAGAAATTATCATAAAGGTTCAACAGCACTTCATCTGTAACTATGGAGGCCATGTTAGGCGCCCAAACTCCCCCTCTTGTTCTTTGAACCAATTGTTTTTGATACAGACCAATTTCCATTTGGGAACAAAGTGTTCATCATAGGGTAAACCTGGAGTACAATAAAGTTTAAATAATTATTTGCTGTCACTTCCCCTCCCCCCTCCCCCCCGTAAGATCATATGTCTTAATCTATTCCAACTAAAACCTCGTACCGTAATAGAACCTTCACCATACTTAAATGAAGGCACAAGACATTTAGGGTTGTAAAGTTCTTTTAGTTTTAGATTAAATGGGGAAGCAACTAGCAAACATCACCCACTGCCAACTGTTGGGCTACTCTTGCTTTATAATGCTCCTACAGCTCCAAACGCTAAGCGCGATGTTTTCTTTTTTGTTGTTGTTTTCGGTAAAGGAATGAAACACTGAAAACCGCAGATCCTCAGTCTGTTACGCTACCAACTGGACCACGTTCGATCCTATATAGGCCCGGCATGGCCAAGTGGTTAGGGAGCTCGACTCTCAATGTGCGGGTCGCAGGTTCGAATCCCCATCCCACCAAACATGCTCGTCCTTTCAGCCGTGGGGGCGTTATAATGTGACGGTCAATCCCAGTATTCGTTGGTAAAAATAGTGGCCCAAGAGTTGGCGGTGAGTTGTGATGACTAGTTGCCTTCCCTCTGGTCTTACACCGCTAAATTAGGGACGGTTAGCGCAGATAACCGTCGTGTAGCTTTGCGCGAAATTCAAAACAAACAAACATCGAGCCTATATATACTATTCGTATACAGTCAAATTCAATGATATTGAATAACTTAATACACAGTTAAGTTACCAATTTGCTATATTCTCCCTATTAGAGTTACCTAAATACAGAATTAAAACGTGTGTTGTTTCTATTATTGTACATTGACCTGTTGCTACAATAGGTAATAATATTTAGAGTTAAACACGATAGATTATGGCAAAGTGCTCAACTTCGGTTGTTCTTTAGTTAAAATCAAAGACCTACACTCAATTGGAAAGTTTAACTAATCATTCTCGTATGTTTTCATGATCGAAACTTATCAACTCGACAACTGCGATTTATTACAGATAACAAAATTAATTCATTTTCAAACAGATTAACAAAAACTATTTTTATTTTGTTTTGAACGAGAATGTGGGTTAGTCCCATAGATGTTTGATTTGGTTTGTTTGTTTGTTTAGAATTTCGCGCAAAGATACTCAAGGGCTATCTACGCTAGCCATCCTTAATTTCACAGTGATAGACTAGAGGGAAGGCAACTATTCAAACCCAACCACTACCAACTCTTGAACTACTCTTTTACCAACGAATAATGAGATTGACCGTAACTTTATAACACCCCCACGGCTGAAAGGGCGAGCATGTTCGGTGACGAGGATTTGAACCTGCGACCGGCAGTTTTCCGTGGAAAAGCTCTGGATTTCGAAGCTGGAGAACGGTGTCCGAATTCCTGTAATACCATAAAATATTTCCCGCACTTTAAAGTGTAACTGTGTTATAATAGTGACAGTAAATCGCTTAGGATGGTCGGTAGGATGCTGCTGACTGGCTGCCTTCTCATTGGTCAATGGTTTAAAATTAGGAACAGCGCCAGATAGACTTAATATTTTTGCCATAAATACAAAATACAAATGCATCAAGTGATGTAATATTGCAATTGAATCTTTGGTTTTACAAGAAAATGAATAAGTATTTACGAAAATAAACAACACATTTTGTTTTAATTTGGAATTATCATGAAGAATTATATCCAAATTACTTGCTTACAAAAATTATGAAAACTGTGAACCTTATCTTTCTCAGGCCGGCAAGTTGTATTGTCCAGTACTTTTTATATGACTGGAGACTAACATTTAGTTTGTTTTGAATTTCGCGTAAAGATACACGAGGGATATCTGCGTTAGCCGTCTTTAATCTAGAGGCAGCTAGTCATCGCTACTCTACTCTACTACCGACGAAATGACCGTAAGTCCTCCACGGTTGAAAGGGCGAGCATGTTTGGTGGAGCGGGGATTCGAACCCGTGATCCTTCAGATTGTGAGTCAAGCGCCCTAACCACCTGGCCATGTCGGGCTTAACATTTATAGTTTAACCAGAAATATATTTCCTTTTTCCCTTAAAGCCAGAACTGATGAACATGGGTAACATCACACAAACCGACGTATGTGTTTGCAACAAGGAATAAAAAAGAAGCTTCCAAAACTTTAGGGTGAATAAGGAAAATCTTTAATCTGCGATCACCATTATTTTTGTTTGCCGCTTTCAACCAGGTATCTCTCGGCAGCTGAAAGAGGCACATTGTTATCATCAACCAAGCAACCAAATGTGCCGAGCAAATCAGAGAAATGACGCTGAAAGAATACACAAAAAAATATATTGAAGACAAATTCAAAAGTAATTCTTGCTGTGATTGCTTTATTTCTACTCTTGAAGGAAAGCTAATAAGTGAAAAATAAAACATTTTAAAATTATATTATTTTAAATACCATAAAGGAACAATTTGTAAAAAAAAAGAGTACAAATATTACACAACTTTCAAAGGATATTGTTATATGTCTTGGTTAAATAAAAGTACTTTTGTGTTTTATATTTTTTTCATCTCGAATACTAACTTCGTTCCCTTGCTTTTCTGCTCCAATTTGAATTATAAAATTTAAAGAATTTCAGTGAACAAAAATGTTATAGAATTCTATACTTAAAAATGGAAGGGTATATTTATTTTACTTTCCAACCCCAATAATACAATACTTTTCGAAAAATTGCGGAATATATTAAACAAATTTCTACAATAAGCTGGTCATAATTACTGAAAGGATTTGGAACACATACGTAAAAGATAAAAATCGTATAAAATAGAATTGAAAGAGTAATTCTTAAACTAAAAGCTAATATTTGCGAATACAGATTAGTTGAGATTTAATAGTTTAGGGCTTCCCATATTGTAAACATCAGTAGTTCTAATAGTGTATGCTATGAGCAAATAACTAAATGGCCTTATATTCTATGACACGCCTCTGAAAGTGAGATATATTAGGCTATACTCATTAAACTGAAAGTCACTTTTCTGATTACTCTACGTAAAGAAACAAACTTATGGAATAGGAGCATAATTAGAAGTTTTAAATTCTACAGTACGTGAAAAAACGTTAACAATCAGGAGTTTATTTAGTTTCCCAGTCATTTACAAAAGTAGAAAAAAAAATGTTTAGGCACATGAATAAGCGTGCACATCGAGGCTAACATGTTTTATGAGTAGTTACGTGGAAATATCTTTATATGTTTTTCAGATTTTCATTCTATAAAGAAGTAAATAAGAGAATGAAAAATAATGGTATCACCATTTAAGTTAACATATATAATAATTTTTGAAATTGACATTGATTGTATTCGTCAGATTTGTTAATATCATTGATTGTATTCGTCAGATTTGTTAATATCATTGATTGTATTTGTCAGATTTGTTAATATCATTGATTGTATTTGTCAGATTTGTTAATATCATTGATTGTATTCGTCAGATTTGTTAATATCATTGATTGTATTCGTCAGACTTGTTAATATCATTGATTGTATTCGTCAGACTTGTTAATATCATTGATTGTATTCGTCAGACTTGTTAATATCATTGATTGTATTCGTCAGATTTGTTAATATCATTGATTGTATTCGTCGGACTTGTTAATATCATTGATTGTATTCGTCAGATTTGTTAATATCATTGACTGTATTTGTCAGATTTGTTTGTCTCCTCTCTTCTCCATTCGTTCTCGTGTAACATTCTTTTCATCAAATTCTTGAACCTGTCATTATGCGGTTTACATGTGCTTTAAACGTACCTCAGCTCGAAGAAATGAAATTGGACAATAATATTATTTATGTCGTATTGTTAAACCTGTTTTTTAATAAGTAATCATTTGCAGGAAGCTGCTATATTTTAGTTTTTGTATTATTGTTGGCCTATAATTTACCATCTTTCAAACATACAAATTTAACTTCCCAGGACACTTTAGATATAATTTCTTTAAGGCACATTGTGCTATATATTAAGAGTAAGAAACGTTGATTTTTGCATTTGTTTCTCTTAATACTTTTAGATATACCAATAAACTAGATTACCACAGATATAAACGTCTGTCATCTGCAAATATGGAAAACCTAAAATATAAGTTTTCTTACTTAGTTGTCATTTTTGATATCAGTTACGTGAAAAGCACGTAGAGCAACCTGCATTTACAGAGTTCCCACAATTAAAGCAATATCGTGAATTTTCTCATTCTGTTTTGTTTCTTCTTCCTTGCTTTTTGATCTTGAGGTGATAAATTCAACATTAGAAAACTGTGAGAAGCCGCAAAACCATAATTACTTTTCACTTCTACCTGCTAATGTACTTACCAAAGTATCTATTCCACGCTTTTAGTAACAGAATATCAACATTTTGCGGGAAGAGGGAGCATCGACAGCAAGAATCAGCATCACAACGCGGATCTTCGACAAACTATAACT